CCAGTGGCGGGACCAGCAGTTGGCGTAATGGCTATGTCACTGGACTCCCATGTAATCAACCATGGTTCGAGTCCTGGACCCAGTGGATTAAACTCACGTGAGGTGCGTGTGCGTGTGTGCCCCAGATCCCAAGAGAAGAAGGGATTGCAGCGTGGCCATCTCCCCTGGGGAATAATTTCTCACTTTCTGTCTGTCTGTCTTTCTCTGTCTTTCTGGCAAGTACACACACCCTAAAGCAAAAAACCTCTCCAAAATAAATAAATAAATAAAATAAAGCCAGTGGGGACCATCTGAATGGAAGAAAGTTCCAGAAGAACATTGGGATGGGGGGCGGGAATTAAAATTGGTGTGGACAATACAGAGGAGTACATGTTGGGGCCGTGTGGCCGCCCTCTCTGTGGGGTAACCAGGATGATGCAGTAGTTGACGTGACTGTCACCTTTGCCCAGTGAGCAACCTCTCTCCGGTGGGGCAGGCGATGTCGCATCTGGGGGAAAGCAAGCCGGGTACCCGTTTGCTCATGCTGCAGGAGTCCTCCGGTGGGTTCTGGACCTGCCAGGCGGGTTGCCCAGGTGGAGATGCAGTCATAGCCCCACTGCAGGCTCCTCCAAACTCTGTTTCACTTAAACTCTGTTCATTTAAAAACAGTAAATGCTCCCCACCTTGGGTAAGGAGCCCAAGCGGTGTGAAATCAGATAGTGTGGTTCAGATGTTGCAACCCGGGAAGCTGTGACAAGTGACAAGAGGTTTGTTTGGGCGGGAGTGACGGGAGCGAAGGACAGACACCTCTCAGCTCTGTTCGCGGCGATGCCACTGTGATGTTAGTGAGGTGTGTGACATTCACTGTACAGACCAGTGTCTATTGACGAGAAAATGACAAAGACTCACTTGGTTTGTCATGACCCATATAAGAATGTATTGATGTATTAAATTTTCATCCCCCCGGGGACCATAGATCAGTCGTTCCTGCTGGGCCTCGAAGCATGTTAAGCCCTTTATTCCTATGGACATCTAGGGGGGTTGGTTGAGTTGAGCTTAAGTTTGGCTCTGAGTGTGTCAGAGATCAACCGTCTATTACCCTCTCAGTTAAAATTGCACGCTGCTTTGGTGACCCTGCTTGCGAACTGTTCAGACTCTGACTGTATCTCTCCTGACTTTGCTTCCCGCTGGTGAGAAACAAGTCACGTGGCCACAGGTGGCCACAAAGGATCCGGGGAAATGCAGTCTCAGTGTTAAGTGGTCATTTGCCCAACTGAAAAGTATTACACGGTAGGAGAGAAAGAAAATGGATACCGGAGGGAAAATTAAAGTCTTGGCCTTGATAATCGTTCATCGCCGCCTGTGTTTGTGACGCCAACCTGAACTGAGGAAGACTGACACCAGAAAAAAGTTATTTAAGTAGACCAACATTTCATAATAAATAGTGGTTTTAGTGTATTTAGTTAGGTATTTTATATTTTAAAATGAAGCTACAGGGACCAGAAGATGGAGTAATTGGTTACATAGCCAACCATGGTTCAAGTCTTGGACCCGACGGCTTAAAACTCACACCCAGTGTATGTACGTGCATGTCCAAAATCCCAAGAGGAGAATGGAGGAGAAGGTATGGTGGCATGGCCGTCCCCCTGGGGGGCGATTTCTCGCTTTCTGTCTCTTTCTCTCCAACAAGTGCACATGCCCTATAGCAAAAAATTATCTCAAAAAAAAGGAAGCTACAAAATTTTAAAAATAACTCCATGTTATACCTAGTGATATTTTACGAAGGTTAGGCTACAACTGTAACTGGTGGATTGATTCTTTATGCAAATGAATTGAAGTATCAGTTGGGAGAAGTATCATTGCAGAACAAATGTAAATGACAGACAATATGGTCTCCTTTATTTCACCTTCATTTTTCAGCAATTTCAAAAAGGGTCGCTCTTGCAAAAGTATTTGAGGATTTGATCAATTTCTCTAAGGGCATCTCTTAATCCTTTGACATCTAAACCCGGCCCTAGGAAATGCCTATTACCTCGCCAACCTTTTTGATCGTCTGCTTTTTAGTTATCTCCTAGACCAGGTTATTTTTTGCCGATGGATTTGCATGTGCTTCGAGCTGTCCTCCAACATCACTGTCATTAATTTCACCAGGACCTTGCATCTTTTAAAAGATTTACAATTTCCTTTTCCAATCATTGTGCTCTGCGTTACCCCATGTTTGCAATAGACCGACAAAGGACGAGATCAGCGCTAAGTGTAAGCAGGAGGAATATCAATTTGTAAGTGGATATTTCTGTGTATGGTTTCTTATAACATCGTCCAGGCCTTGGAGCTCAGATATAAGTACCCTTGAAAGATAAATTGTATCCTTGGTTTTTACAAAATGTACTCAATCATCCTTCAGCACATTTCAGCTGTTGAACGCGCTGCTACCCTGAGGATTCTTGCCTACATACAGAGTCAGTTACGTGGTGTTCTCGGAATGAGATACCGCCCAGATCTTTGCAGTGTCTGAGAGCATCAGCTTCACCCGGGTTTGAATCCCAGCTCTGCCACTTGCTGACTGCATGAACTTGGGCAATTTATTTAACTCTGTCGTGGTTGCCTCAGCTACAGGTAATGAGATGACTTAGCCCATAGGGTTTGTGGAGACAACTGTGTTGAAATAGTCTCTGGAACACAGTAAGTAAGCACTGAAGAGATCTAGCAATGGTGATGACGGTGATGGCTCACACAGCAGCACGCAACCCACCATAGGCCAGTGCTCTGATAAATGTCACTGTCAGCTGTACCTGCCAATCAAAATGCAGGAGCGTAGGCCCAGGCTCTCTGGTAACCAGTGAAATGCAAATGAAGCCAGTAATGCACTGTTGCATTTCAGCTGTCTCCACGGCCAGTGTTAAGAGGCCCTCTGTCACCAAAGGTTGGT